GATACAAGATTGAATTAACTGAAAATGTAAATTGATCGCGTCATGGAGTTCGTAAAAGAACTTGCTGTAGATCGTTATGAGCATAAGGACTTGTCTTTTGTTTTCAATATTTACAAGAATAGGAATTATTCAGTTAGTACGTCCATAACTCTTTGAGCAGATACTTTTCTCTTCTATTCTCTATGGGAAATAGTTGTCCTAACTTTTGCTTGCCGGTCTATGCATGCACTAGTAGATGTCAGTAACCTCTATACGTACAAAGTATCGTTTAAAGAACATTAAAAAAACTTTTATGTTCTAATATGATTAGACGCCATCGATAATACGAAGTCGTTACTAAAAATGCGAAATGCATACTTATGGATCATTTTATCGTAAAAAACATGTTTTCCGTCGTTTATTTATCTTGTAAAACAGACATACGTAGAGCAATTTTTATTATCACAATTTACAGTTTCCTATTTCAGATACCTGTAATGGTCGTCACTCGGCGTCAGGCGTATCTGGCCACATCAGCAGCAGCTGCAAAGTCCACGAACAATTTAAATCACCAATCAAAATGTATAGCATGTGGTCGTACATTTGCTAGGATATAAGCAAACGATTGTTGTCGCCGTCTTCTCTTAATTGTATTCGTGAATCCCATTCACAGATATCAACTAGTGTACGGAATAATAACAACGATAGTAAATTGTTTCTGTATCCCAGATTATTGTGGCTCGGTCGGTTCCGACCATTTAAGCTCACTTTCCGACGACTTCGTTGCCACTGGATTCCGACCGAAAGTTCAAACGAAGTTTCCAGTTACTTCCGGGCCGTTTCCTGCAAACTTTGAGATGGAAACAGTCACCGAAATGATCGACCTGGGATAGGTAGGTTTATCTTTTAACTGATTTTCTCTCATAAAAATCGTATAAAGCAACTGTTTCACTTTTCTCTATTTACAGTAATGCCGGAACAGCAATATGTGCACGTCCAATATCATCCAACTTGCTGTCAGTCTTATCTTCCAGTTCTTCTCGTTCTTCATCGTCCGATTCTTCGTCCATGTGGTCTACAAATCCCTCTTGCTCTTCTTCGCCTGACTCTTATTCCATGTCATGTTCAATGAAAAACACATCGTCCAAAGTTCATTCGTATAAATCCATAACAGCATCATCATCAATTGGAGATATAGACACAATTGTAGATGGTTTCACCGACTACTCTTCGACCTACACTGATTCTCCTCAACAGCTGAATTGTTCTGGTGAAGGCGGAATTATCTCAGTATATAAAAACACTCGAGGTGGCAACTTCCTTCGTCTTGATTGCTACACATATCAAATTAACCAATCCATGGCGAATCATATCAAATGGAAATGTAGACAAAGTCGAAATATGATCGAATGCAGCGCTAAAATCTATTCGACTAAAAACCTAGGAACTAAGCAAATGCCAGCTTATCACAATACATGAAGTCGAATAATATTAAGCATTCGCACGAGGCGAATCATGATGAACAAAAGGTTGCACCTTTCATATCTCATATTAAAGATAAAGGAACAAATCATCGAACTGACCCCCGTCGAAATTAATTGATGAATCAGCAAGTTCTATGAAATTAACTGATGCGCAACCAGGCATGATCGCAAGTCACAATATTATTTGTAAGTTGATAAACTGTAATTTTCTGAACTCAATTTCTTTTCCTGCTATTTAGATAAAAAATCAACCGTGTCAGAAGTAAAACAAAACTACAGCTTCCAAAATCAATGAAATTCGAGATTTCAACTGCATTTTCAATTACTCAGTCTAACGAGAATTTTATTTTTCTCGATCATTTGTATGCCAAAGAAAGGAAGAGAACTTTGGGATTTGCAAGTCCAATGCAACTGAAACACTTATTTAGTTCAGTTTTAATATGCATTGATGGCACTTTCTTAATTTATCCGAGACATTATAAACAATTACTAATTATTCAAACAATTGGCCCCAAGAAATACAATGGTAAAAGTATCTGTCTATTCATCTGCTCTCCTTTGATGGAGTCTAATCCTCTCTTTAATATGATCAATCATTAATCTGTTCAATCTTTGTTCTTTGCCTTACTTCTAGGAACACCCGTCATCTTCGCTTTAGTCAACGATAAACAATCTCGCGCTTATGAATTGCTCTTTCGAATATTGAAACACTAAGCAAAAGAGATGGAAATGAAATTTGAACCCTCAAGAATAATCAGCGATTTCGAAGGTGGAACTATTTCAACAATAAAGCAACAAGTAAATACTTCGTATCAGTTAAGATATTCTCTCTCTGTGTGTTTTCTTTCGTTCTAGCTTCCAAAAACCACTCATCAGAGCTGTTTATTTCACGTGTATCAACGATTAACTAAGAAAATGAAAAAAATTGGCTTGTGGACATATTATATTAATGATAATCATTTGCTTTTGTTTATCAAGAAAGTCATGGCGATTGTATTACTTAAACCAACGTTTATGAATAGTGCCTATGAGTTACTGTGCAGTACATATTTAAAGGGCAGAAGATCAAAGCGATTTATTGTACAATTGACGAAATTCATGTTTCACTTCAAAGAGCAATGGTTAAAATAAAAACTTCGCCGCATGGTGAGCTTTTACGATGTTGATTTTAAGACAAATGATTGCTCTGAAGGTAAGAAAAGAAAGCACATGTGTCGTTTATGTAAGCTTTTCTAATTACTTCAGCGTACAATTCAGCACTGAAAAGGCTGGCAGAACAAAGTCATCTATCTATTTGGACGTTAATAGAACTTTTGATTACGGAGGAAACCAGTGTGCGAATGAAATTTTTCCGATCTTCCCAGGTCGACAAATCCCATTCTCAGATCCGATCGGATCCGAAACACGGATTTTGTGGATTTTCTAAGGGTCATCATAGAACCTAGCTAAAAACAACGCTCATAAAATTTGCAACAAATGACTGGAATTTTCCAGTTGGAATCCGATGCAATTCCGTCACCAGGAATCCTATCGGATTTGTTGGCCTGGGTTTAGATGGAAAATAAAAAACAATCAACAAGAAGATTCGTGACGATGTCGTGGCCATCAATAAAAGATATCGGTGTGAAGCTAGCACCATTAAACTAAGGTTTTTCCGAAAACGAATTCCCGTCGATAAAACCGAGTGTATTCGATACAGAATTTAATTCTGAGTCAAATGGTGACATTTTTATTCATGGGAATACGTTCGGAGAAAAGTTTTCTTTGATCTTTCTTTATCCTCGATACATGTATATGCATCATTTTTCGGCCGTCGGCACGCAATATCTCAGCCCAGAACGAATTCCGGTTCATGGAAAAGAGTCTATTCGACGCAGAATTTGATTCTGCATCGACTAGTGCCACTTTTTTTCGCGGGAAAACGTTCGGGATGGAGCTTACCTCGATTCTTATTTTCCAGGGTACTTTTAGAATTTTTCCTAGTAATTGCTGAAATTTGAAAAAAATCATCATAGGATACTTTTTGCTCGATTTCGGCTAGTAATTAAATAAATTTAGAGATTAGGATGTATTTGATTTTGGAAAGTGGATAGATTCCGTTCGTTCATCGTGGAATTTCCATCCGTTTCCTGGAGGATCTTATCATATTCTCTTTAACTTCCTGGCGGATCCGGATTCCGGAAACATTATACCTTCGGTAATGGTCGGATTAGTACTGCAGCGTCGTGTACGTTTTTAATGTCTCGCCTTAGTTCGAATGACACAGAATTTGCGAAAAATCAGAACAAGAATAGCAGAAAACGTTCTAATTCGGTGGACAACGAGAAGAATGACGAATAAACGTCACGTTTACCGATGTAAATACTTTATCTATTTCATCCATCGGAAAACAATAATTATATTTTGCTTTCTTTTAATATTTAGTTCCAGACTAGCCACGGATACAATTGTTAGTCGAAGAAATAGACGCTTTGAAAGGTAGTTCATGAAAATCGTGTTTTGTGAATCAAATTTGAAATAGTGAAAATAATGTTTCTCTTTTTGGTTCTGTATCTAAATTCATATAAGTAAAAAGGAGGGAGATCTCTGCCAGCTTTACAAACCAGGACGTCCTTTCGGCATGATCTATAACTACAAAAATAAGGTATTACTACACGTTCTATTTTGTTATGGACAAAAATTTCATGTCAATACGAATACAGTGTCGCCTTCATTTCGATCGCTAA